CTCCCTCGGCTAATAAAGCGAGATGAGCGCCGCAACCCCAGAGTTGGCCACGACTGGACCTAATGGTCAGGGGTCCCTTTACCTTTACCTTTAATGCCTGGGGCATGCTAAAGTGTTTTAGTATGCAACGAAACTGTGTCCCAAATTATTATTTTACTCCATGCAAGTTAATGGGTGCTGTTGAGATTCGTATGTTCTCTTTACCAGAAGCGTTTGGATCCTTTCATTTGCATAGCCTAATCCTGGGTTCTGTGTTTTGATTGCATTAGAGTCTGATGTAACTTTGGGAGCTAATGCAGATGCTGGAGCCTGAAAGAGTGGTGGCTGTGTGAGTCAGGACCAGTGGCAAATGTGAGGACTTCTGCCAAATGAGGGCCCTCTGATGGCATCAGTGAACCCACCCTAGTGAACTTCGCAGCAGAAATAGCACCATGATCTGCTGTAAAACACCCTTCATTAAAAGTACCTGAGAGAACATCGCACCAGGGAAGCCAATTCAAAATGGCAGCTTCACCATGGCATCCCACTGCTGCTCATTAAAAGCACGGCAGGTGTAATCAGAACAAGCGTTGGCACAAGTGGTCCTTGCCAAGGATGGAGAATCACCAAAAAGAGGGAATGTATCACTGAACAATAGGAAGAAAAAGGATACAGATCTGCACAAAGTCTGCATGGGCTGATTCATATGTATAGATGCAAATTTAGAAATAAGGAGTGTAATTTAGATAGAAATACAATGCAGCCCACCAGAATAGGGAAGACTATGAACAGGTGACCTGTGTGTGCCCTGCCAAGTCTGCTGTCTGGGTGTTCACTGCTGACAGGCAACTTCAAGACCCCTCCATCTTTTCCTATCTCTAATCTGAACTTGGACCAAACAGCCATTCAAATAGGGGATGTCTTCAGATAGCAGGCTGCCCTCCGACAGCCATTTTCTCTATAAAGTAGGACACACAGCTGCCCTACACAGAAGTGGGGCCCCAATAGCTACTTACCAATGCCATTGTGACCACAAGGCTTATAGCAAGCTTATGGCAGAGGCAAGCATTGAACTAGGGATGTCCTGGCTCACACTCTTAACTGCCCCACAAAGATTCTCAGGTGTAATATTAGGACTACATTCCCAGAGCTAGTAGGAAAACCTAGTAGAGCAGTTCATGCACCAAAAATTAAAAACAAAAGAACGCCATACGACCTTATTCCAAAATTGTGCTGTGCTCCTGCTAAATTCATTGAGTGAAAAGCAGATAACAATACGTTTTGGATGAGAATTCAGATTCTTTCTCTATCCTCCTAAATGTTCAGATAAAGGAAGAACTTTGATTTTATTCGGGAACTTTGCTTCCCCTCTCACATGCATTTATGAGCTGTGGAGGAGACGTTCCTGTCCGGGCGTTGCATGATAATTTAATTGCTGTTTCCTCCATACAGCTATAAATTATACCACAAATGCAGACGCTCTCAATATTCGGGGACTCCAGCTATGTGTCCAGCTGTAACATGACCTATTTCCACAGCAGGGTTGCCAAATATGTTTTATGGAGATCACAGCGGAATGTTAAATCTGCTTTGCTTGAAATTGGCCTAGACATAAAGGAACACAAAACCACTCAGAGTTTCCTGTACTCATTATGTCTTTAGCCCCCCGTTTCTCCAAGGAGCTCAGGGAAGTGGACAAGGTTCTTTCTCGCTGCTCATTTTATTTTCACAACAATCCTCTGAGGTGTGTTAGATTGAGAAATATATGGGTGTCCACACAAATGCTTCCATGCTTTGAAAGAACATGCTGGGAGTGATCATGATTTCACACAGCCTAACCCTCTCTGCCAACATCACTGCATGCTCTGATCTCACCTACAGCCGCTGTGCATGGACTGGCCCCCTCACCATGTGCCTCCATCATGCATTGTCAGGGCCCGTGCTGAGGGGGGCTGCAATGAGGAAGAATGGTGGGTGCCGCCGCCTGCCCCTGCCCCTGAATCTCCCCAGGAGCAGGAGGAGAGTATAGATTTAGAACAGTGGTTTGCAAAGGGGCATAGTTCAGAAGAGAAAAGCTGGGAAATCCTAAAGAGCAGCTAGGAGAAGAAACACTGGGAGAGAGAGGGTTAACAGATTCAAAGTCATTGTGTAGCATCCCCCTTCACCACTCTCCACATTCTGGGAGAGCTGAGAAAGTTGCCGAACAGAAAGCGCAGCAACTACAAGCTCAGGTTACCAGATATAGGGGTGACATGTATTGAGAGGGGCGGGGGGGTAGCCTTAATTGGAAGCACTGCCATTCTTAGAGGGAGACGTTTGTTATCCCTCGCTGTGAATGAATGAATGAATTTACGTTATTATGGTCACAGACCAGCATAAGCAAAACATCTAAATAAATAGCATAACAGTATCTCTAAGTGGATAATTATAAAATAAATGGGAGAAAGAACGAAACATAGATTAAAACATATACATAAAATACTTGATTAAGCATAGGTAATGGATGAGTAAAAACTGATAAGAAAAATTAAAAGAGATCAGTTAAAAACAGCTGTATGGGGTGGGTCTTCAGAAGTGCAGATCTAACAATATGGGCCTTCAGTTTAGGGCTGATTTGTAACATAAACCATCCTTCAACAAATATCTATCATGGTAGTGCAGAATCTGGCGACTAAATACAGTGGATGCTTGGGTTGTGAACATGATCCATGCAGGAAGCACGTTTGCAACCCGCAGCACCGCGTGTGCGCACACACAGGTCGCGATTCAGCGCTTCTGCGCATGCACCAAAACCCAGAAGTATCCCGTCCCGGTACTTCCGGGTTGGGCACGGTGTGCAACCCGAAATCACACAACCTGAAGCGTCTGTAAACCAAGGTATGACTGTTTGACTTCTTCCCATTTTTTATCTTGAGAGCATGGTGGACATTTTGTTTTGTTTTTTAAATAATTTTTATTAAAGTTTCAATCAAAAATTAAACAACAAACAAAAACAAACAAAAACATGAAAAAGATACACAAATACACAATACAAATCCCAGAAAGAAAATATAAAAAAACACAAAGAGCAAGAATCAACAATAAAAAAAAACATAACAATTAAAAACAATATCTCTTTTCCATTTCCGTTTTTGAATTTACTTATTTTCTGGACTTCCTCATACCTCCCTCTTTTGTACTCCAATCCAAATTGTTTGTCCAGCAATTTCTTTTCCACTTTTTTAATCCCAATCTTTAATTTTAATATAATATATAACTTCAACTTCTTTAAACCTAATCTTTGATCTTAATGTAATATAACATTGAAATTTTACCTCTTAATTGTCAAGTTTTCATTTCCTTAAACATCTTTAAACCTAATCTTTAATCTTAGTCTATCATTAACTTTAACCTGTACAACTGGAAACCACTTATATTCAGTCCAACATCACTCTAACATTCTTTAATTTTGCAATGTTTCTGAAGATAGTCTTTGAATTTCTTCCAATCTTCCTCCACCAACTCTTCTCCCTGGTCACGGATTCTACCAGTCATTTCCGCCAGTTCCATATAGTCCATTAATTTCATCTGCCATTCCTCCAGCGTGGGAAGTTCTTGTGTCTTCCAATACTTTGCGATGAGTATTCTTGCTGCTGTTGTTGCATACATAAAGAAAGTTCTATCCTTTTTAACACCATTTGGCCGACTATGCCCAGGAGAAAGGCCTCTGGTTTCTTAGGGAAGGTATATTTAAATACCTTTTTTAATTCATTGTATATCATTTCCCAGAAAGCCTTGATCTTTGGGCACGTCCACCAAAGGTGAAAAAATGCACCTTCAATTTCCTTACATTTCCAACATTTATTATCGGGCAAATGATAAATTTTTGCAAGCTTGACTGGGGTTGTGTACCACCTGTATATCATTTTCATAATATTCTCTCTTAAGGCATTACATGCCGTAAATTTCATACCTGTGGTCCACAACTGTTCCCAGTCAGCAAACATAATGTTATGTCCAACATCTTGTGCCCATTTAATCATAGCCGATTTTACCGTTTCATCCTGAGTATTCCATTTCAGCAGCAAGTTATACATTCTTGACAAATTCTTAGTTTTGGGTTCTAACAGTTCTGTTTCTAATTTGGATCTTTCCACCTGGAAGCCAATTTTCTTGTCCAATTTAAATGCCTCCATTATCTGAAAATAATGAAGCCAGTCTCGCACCATGGTGGACATTTTGGTTTCCACGATCTTGCATGATTCCACGCCATGGATTCCCTCCCCAAAAAAGAACTTTCTGGGGGGGGGGGTAATCGCACTGCAAAATCGTGTGAGATCGTGACAACCAACACGGCTGCAGTTCTTTCACGGAAAAAATGGGCTGTCCCACTTTTTCTGGGACACTGGCAGAAAGTGCCATCTTCACATGGAGGATGCATAGAACTATATGAATGTTGAACACACATACACTGGGGAAACAAGGCAGCAATAGAGGGCGGCCAAATCTTTTTGCAATTTTGAAAGGTTCCGAAAAATGCACTGGAATGAGGCAATGTCATACAAACAAACAAATCTGAATCAATGCTCAAGAAACAAACATGCCTTTGCATTTCATGAAAGCATCTTAGGATGCCGCCCGTCTCCCTAGAGATCTGACACAGGAGCAGAGGACTTTCGCGGTCTGTCAAGCTGCGTCCTCCTCATCATCTATGTGTTTCTGCAACCTGTATGTTTGTAAAATAAATGTAAGCATTACAAAGCACCAGTAAAACTTCCGGTGAACTCTTTCGAAAGAGAAGCAAACCAGGGTAAGCACTGTGCCTTTGGAGCTTACGGCCACTCAGAGAATTGGAGCGAGTGTAACAATCCAAAACAAATAATAAACAATCAAATAAATATAGAGGATGATAACAGAACTACCAGCCACAAAGTGGACCGGTAACAAAACAACAAAGAAATCAAGATTGGGTTTTGCCAAGTTTGCAGCTTGCTGGCTGCCAGTCCCAGCCTGCCAACCTCCTAGTTTTCCCCCCTCCTCCATCTCAAAGATAAAGCCTGTGTAAAAACTGCTCACCCAGCAGCTCAGGAGTGCTGCTCTCTGATCGGAGCAGCACTCCTGAGCATTTGATGATAGTGCCCGGAATTAAGAACCATTGGAATTGTATGTGTCTCCTTTGTGCCAGTATATTTGCTCCGGCCTTGTTGTATTCTCTTAAGCTGATCTTGCAAAGCTGTGCCAGTTCCCTGGATACCAGAGAAAATAACATACACCAAGAAGACGAGGCTTCCAATGGACTCTCAAGCAGGGAAATGTCAAAGCATGGAGAAGATTATGATTAGGAGTTCAAATAGCCAGGAAGGAAGCATAGCATCGTAAGTAACTTAGTTTGTGTCTGCATCCCCAAAGCTGCTTATCCAATATGGCGGAAAATGGCTACACAGCATCCTAGAAAACAGGACTTGGGTGGTTTGAGAATAACCCATAATGGAAGTCTTTCAGAGCTTTTCAGGATCTTGGTTGTTGCACTGATACACAATACATCTTTCTCTTGGAACCATGTGTTGTGTTCAACGTGAAGTTTCAGATTGAATGTAGTAGTTTAGAACAGGTATTTTATGAACAAGCAAGCCTCCATATCCATCCATCAGCTGAACTTAACCTTCTCTAACTGAACAAGGTAACCAACAGTCTTGCTCTTAAGGTTCTATGCATCTTAAAGCAACATATATCATCCTGGGGTGTGCGCACAAAAGGAGATTGCAGAATAGAGAGAGATGCAGGACTGTCACGTGAAAGATGGAGCAATCTTATTTTCTCATGCTCCCGAGGGAAGGATCCAAACCAATGGCTTCAAGTTAAAAGAAAGGAGATTCCAACTAAACATCAGGAAGAACTTTCTGGTGGTAAGAGCTGCTTGACAGTGGAATGGACCCCCTAGGGAGGTGAGGGACTCCCCTTCCTTTGAGGTTTTTATGCAGAGGTTGGATGGCCATCTGTAATGGATGCTTGAGTTGAGATTCCTGCATTGCAGGGGGTTGGACTAGATGACCCCGGGGTCCCTTCCAACCCTACAGTGCTATGATTCCATGGTGGAAATGTGACAATCTTTTATGGTGCTGCACATAGGAGCCAACTCCTAAGGGCTGTGGGGGCTTCGACCCCCCCCACACACACAATAAAATATTTGAGGGGGCCGGGCCCCACAAAGTTTATGGGCATTGCCCCTCAAATGGTGTGTGTGTGTACTGCATCATACGATTGATTATGTGTGCCAGGGCTTACCTAAGTTGGCACCCCTGGTGCTGCAAAATTCTTTGTTGCTTTTGCTGCAAAAGATTAGCAAAGCTACTTTGGGGGATTTGTAACCTCAATCAAAGCAGACGTATTCCCCTCCCTAAATACTCCCCAACGAAGGTTGCTTAGCTGTGCTTTCACAGGGCAATGCTTTGTTTACACAATATTATTGATTACTGATTACCACACACATTTCATTGTGACACATATGCCTTGGGAGCTAACAACTGTTCTGAAATTATTAGAACTCCAATTTAATTAAAGGCCAGTATCAATTATTGATCTTCAGCCCAAATGGCTTTTTCAACATATTGAATTGTTGCCTGGAGTGTACATGGTTTCTAATGGACTTATTATTTCTTCTCTTAAGTAGATGATTTTTTTTTATTATTATTTGCAAAAGACTGACATGAGACGATTGGTTTTATTTCTTTTGTACAGTTACTCTGGTATTTACCTAGTCCTCAGAACTATTATTTTGTTCTTCTTGCAAGGACCAATATTCCTTCTGCCCTGCATCAGGACAGTCTTTCGTGTCAGCTAGTAACACCATGCTTATTCTGCCCTGCCCACACCATCTTCCTGTTGTGACTTTAAAAACTCAAGACATGTTTTCTTGTAGGAACACAGCACACATCATGCCTTCCAGCATTTCACATGCTTAGAACATCCCTTTGCCTATAGTAAGGCACATGATGAATCCACATCCCTGCCACTGTTATAGGTTTTTGAAGGAAAAGACCATCTGCCTTGACTGAAGAAGGTCCCATGTTCAGTCCCCACAATCTCCAGTTAGGGGTGGATGTGCAATGGAACTTCCTGTCAGGGACTGGGCAGAGGAGGAATGGTGAGACCACCCCCCCAGCCTGAACCTTCCAACGAGGAGGAAGAAGAAGGCAGTTTAGATTTACAAAGGGGTTTGCGGGAGGTCATAGCTCAGAGGCAGATAAGGGGGAAAGTTGGGAGATCATGGGAGAGAGGAGGAGGAGGAGGAAGCAGGGCGACAGCTGATGGACACAGTGTTGTCAGGTGTGCGTGCAGGAGCCAGGCCCTGTGACGAATAGGACCCTGCAGGACTGGGGCCTTCCTAAGTTTGATCTGAAGAGGCAAGGCGCAGCCACACAGGTGAGGCCGATTGGTAACTCACAGCACCTGGTGGCCAGAGCCGGGATGGGATATAAGGTCAGCATTTTCCCCTCGGCTCTTTGCCACAGCAACACGTTCCCTGCCTTGCTGAGTTTGACTCCTTGAATCCTTGCTTCTTGATCCTCAGACCCCTGATTTCGTGACTCCTTGCTTCTTGATCCTCAGACCCCTGACTTCGTGACTCCTTGCTTCTTGATCCTCGGACCCCTGACTTCGTGACTCCTTGCTTCCTGACCCTTGGACCATTGGCTTCTTGACTCCCGGCTCTCTGACCCTCGGCTCTTGGCTTTCTGACTCCTGGCTTCTTCCGTTCCTGCTCCCACCCCGCCATCTTGCCTCTGGTCCCGAAGTCCCCAGCCAGGACGTCGATCACCTGTGAACAGGACCGTGACAAGTCTCTTTAGAAAGCTTTCCAGACCCACCCACCCCCCCAGAACCCAGCGAGCCTTGAAAGTAGGAGAGCAAAGAACTCAAAGACAGAAGGCACGTAGCAGCTCCCGTAGAAGTGACAATGAGGAAATGAGAGAGACAGGGGAGTGGAGATTCACTCGGGGCAACGCCATTATCCAAGAGTCTGGGTTCTATAGCCTCTCTCTGTAATTATTCAATAAAAAAGGAAGGTAAGAAACCTTCCCTTGTCTTTATACTTTTCCAGGCAATCAGCTAGGAGCTTCCCTTTCCTCTCCTCTTCCCTTTCCTCTCCTCTTCCCTTTCCTCTCCTCTTCCTGCACCCCCCTAAATCTGTTCTGGGGAACTTCCACCACCCCTTTGGAGCAGGTTGGGGGATATGTGGGGAGAGGGAAGGTACATTTTGTTGCGCAAGCACAAATCCTTGCACTAGCAGAAGAATTTTGTTGGATACGACTCAGAAACTTTAAACCAAGCAACCCTACCAGTCATGGATGGTTTGCTCATCTATAGGTAAGGTAAAAGGTAAAGGACCCCTGGAGGCTTAAGTTCAGTCAAAGGCAACTATGGGGTTGTGGCACTCATCTCGTTTTCAGGCCAAGGGAGCCAGCATTTGTCCACAGACAACTTTCCAGGTCATGTGGCCAGCATGACTAAACCGCTTCTGGTGCAGTGGGACACCATGATGGAAACCAGAGCGCATGGAAATATTGTTTACCTTCCTGCCACAGTGGTACGTATTTATCTACTTGCACTGGAATGCTTTCGAACTGCTAGGTTGGCAGAGGCTGGGACAGAACAAGGGGAGCTCAACCTGTTGCGCGGATTTGAACCACTGAGCTTCCGATCAGCAAGCCCAAGAGGCTCAGTGGTTTAGACCACAACGCCATCCACGTCCCTCATCTATAATATAGATAGTGATATAAGAATAGTGACCTACTCTGTATGAGGTTATTGTGGGGAGTGAAATAATGTATGCACAGAGGTCAGAACCATCTTAATGGAAGGAAGAAGAAGAAGAAGAAGAAGAAGAAGAAGAAGAAGAAGAAGAAGAAGAAGAAGAAAGGTAATCAACATTCAGTATAATTAATGATATTTATCATACTAAAATCATAATAAGGTGACTTGTACATAAGAGGCAGCTTGATCTAGTAGCTGGCAAGTACAGCTCGGATTGATCTGGTGTTTCCCATGCAACACTCGTCATCATGTTTATATTTGTGAATACTCTGCAGATTCCAGAAGCATTTCAATATAATAATTCTATTTCCTCTTGGTGATACCATCTAAGCAAAACTTTACTCAACAGTTCCAGGCGGAAGAGAAAATTAGTCTCCACTTATCAAATGACTAACATTAAAATGATCTGGTACTGCTTCTCCAACTCCTTCCAAGTTCTCAGAGGGCTCCATATCTCCCTTGTGTAATTATTTTTAATCAAACAGGTGAATCATAATCAGGAACTGCGTTTGCATTTAGAAAAAGCTGAAACGACTGCCACATTGCCAAGAGGTAGCCTCAGGATCAAATACGTTACTTTCACAAATCAGCTGTATGCCAGTGAAGCTCTGTGTTCTCCCGGTTATGTGCAACATACTACATTTGCAATTAAACATATTAGCACCGAATTAACACACTCAGTCTGAAATAATGATTCATGCCAATATAGCCCTTTAGGGATGGGCTGTGGCTCAGCAGTAGAAAATCTGCTTTGCATGAAGAAGGTTCCAAGTTCAGTCACTGGCGTCTTCGGAAAGGGCTGGGAGAGACATTGAGACTTAAATCCTGTAGATCAGCTGCCAGTAGACAGAGATGAACCAATAGTATAAGGCAGATTCCTATGTCCCAAGCGGTTTCCAAAATGAATGGTATAACTCCCGGGGAGGGGGAATTATGTAGGTGGGTGCAAAGAGTCATGGGGGAAGCTGGGGATGCTGGTGGTGCAAACGACTGTCAGGCTTTGAAAAGCTGGCATCTCTGGATCAAGTACATCAATATTATTGAATTAATTAAACTACATAGTTTTTATTGGATTATGAACAAATGTAAAATTAATTAATCCAGCGCAGACTCAATTCCTGGAATAGCCAGGCTAGCTTCCTGTTGAGGTAATGGCTCTCTAAGTAACAAAGGAAGTGGCTTTGTGCCAGAGTACTTAAGGGGTGGGTACCCCTACTTCAACTGCCTGGTAGTTAGGATCCCCAGAATCTTGCAATGCTTAGAGATTGGAGGTGGCGTACAGCAATACATTCTTTGCTGCTGATTTCGTGGTGGGTGCTGAGTCCACATTTAAGCATAAGGTTAACTCCTGATTGCAGCTCATGCACACAAGGAAAATGTTCCAGAGCATTACTGGAGTCATTTTCATGACACAAATCATCTCCATGGTGCCTGAATAACTAGATTAGCATGCACTTTGCAATCAGCTAGCTCCTATTGTTCGTTCACATCTGCCTAACCCAATTTTAGGCTTTTAATCATCCCTGCTTGTTAAATATTCTCTCTCCTGTGTTCAGCTCTTCCTCTCTGCCAACATTTTACTTCGCTGCAAGCTGCAGACCACACACCTGCACGGGGCTCTGAGACAAGCAAGCAGCCTTAGCATGTCAGGAGGGTCTGGAGTACAGAATGTACGGCATCTTCCATGGTGCCAGGTAGTTCTTCAATTGGACGTGCCTGTTGACAAAAACAACACACTTGGACTATACGCCAAATATTTGTGAAGCACCTGAGTGGATTATCTTGTCTAGTCATCATAATTCCTTGAGCTTCCCCTTCTGTCTTAGCAGCAGCTTCTGCATTCAGCACAAATGTCTCATCATTCAACTGAAGAGAAGTCTGGGGTTGGGAGCAGCCATAGGAAATTGCCTTTTGCCTTATAACAAATCAGACCATGTGCCCATCAAACTTGTTTCTTTAACAGGACCTATATACCTCTTGTTTCTTTAACAGGACGTGGGTGGCGCTGTGGGTTAAAGCCTCAGCACCTAGGACTTGCAGATCGAAAGGTCGGTGGTTCGAATCCCCGCGGCGGGGTGCGCTCCCGTCATTCAGTCCCAGCGCCTGCCAACCTAGCAGTTCGAAAGCACCCTCGGGTGCAAGTAGATAAATAGGGACCGCTTACCAGCGGGAAGGTAAACGGCGTTCCGTGTGCTGCGCTGGCTCGCCAGATGCAGCTTGTCACGCTGGCCACGTGACCCGGAAGTGTCTTCAGACAGTGCTGGCTCCCGGCCTTTAGAGTGAGATGAGCGCACAACCCTAGAGTCTGGCAAGACTGGCCCGTACGGGCAGGGGTACCTTTACCTTATATACCTCTTAATCATCAACACCTCTAAGCAGTTTACATGAAAATTAGTTCTTATTTAGTCCTGTCAACACTGAGAGGCAGCATCTCTCCAGGGTTTCAGATAGGAAATTTTCCCTGCCCTCCCTGGAGATGCCAGGGATTGAACCTGGAACCTTTTGCTTGCCTCCTGCCTCTACCTCTCCTGCTCCACTGTCTCCCAGGACCAGAAGAGGAGTGAAGAGGGAGAAGCAGAAACAGGATACACAAAGGTGGAGTCTTTGCCTGCTTGCCCACAGCTCAGTGGGGGTGGGATATATAAGCCAAGGTTGGAGCAACTGCCTCATGAGGTGCACACCTAGGAGCAGCTGAGAAATGCAGAACTGATGGACATCCCTTTTCTTAACTTACAAGTGTACTTTTGACAATAAAGAGCTGATTCCTCGCTCTGCACATTCCATGCCTGCCAGCGCTGTGGCACCCAATGATTCTCCCAGGGTGAGCCCAGGGTGACTCTGAATAATAATAATAATAATAATAATAATAATAATAATAATAATTTATTCTTTATACCCCGCCCATCTGGCTGGGTTTCCCCGGCCACTCTGGGCGGCTCCCAACAGAACATCAATAACAATAAAAAAGCAACAACATCAAACATTAAAACTTCCCTAAACAGGGCTGCCTTCAGATGTCTTCTAAAAGTTGTTTATTTCCTTGACATCTGTAGGGAGGATGTTCCACAGGGCAGGCGCCACCACTGAGAAGGCCCTCTGCCTGGTTCCCTATAACCTCACTTCTCACAGTGAGGGAACCACCAGAAGGCCCTCAGCGCTGGACCTCAGTGTCCGGCCTGGATGATGGGAATGGAGATGCTCCTTCAGGTATACTGGGCCGAGGCCATTTAGGGATTTAAAGGTCAGCACCAACACTTTGAATTGTGCTTGGAAAAGTACTGAGAGCCAATGTAGATCTTTCAGGACCGGTGTTATATGGTCTCAGCGGCCGCTCCCAGTCACCAGTCTAGCTGCCACATTCTGGTTTAGTTGTAGTTTCCGGGTCACCTTCAAAGATTTAAAAATCTGCTTGGCTCTTCTAATTGTCTTGAGAAGTGATACTTCAAACTTATGGTTGTTTTGCTGTTTGAGTGGTGCTTGGACCAATACTATTTAGGTTAGCTCATTGGCTATGTGAAATTGCTACAGTTGTTCATTCATATGTTTTTGTTCTATTTCTCCATATACCAATAATAAGGAGTTTTGCTCACTTGTGTGTCACAAACGCACAGCGCATTTTGCCTTTAATAAAATCACGCCCTTCTCTCTCTCTCTCTCACACACACACACACACAGAGAGAGAGAGAGAGAGGAGAGACAGCAGCAGTTCCACTGTTCTTGGTTGCACCCATTATCTTCACTTTTTCATCCAGATTTTCCCCACAAAAAGGTGAAGGACAATAAGCTTAGCCAAGAGTAGGTGGAGATGTGCAATTTGTTCTGGAACAGAATTTTGACATTTTACCCTATTTTTTCTTTTTTCTTTTTTGCTTCAAGACAGTAAATAAGGCAAAGAAAAAGACCTTTTCATGCAAATGTTTTGCAGCGCTGGAGGCTATGTACATTGGATCATGTCCGCAGCTGGTTTCACTTAGAAACAAGCAAAGTGGCTGAAGCTGAACCAAGAGCCTCTCTGAACCTTTGCCCACACAAAAACAAAACACAGCACAACAGAGGGACCTTTAGGGAGGTCCGCTTAATTTCTGTCCATTATCTTCTTCCCACTCTACATATTTAAACGTCTGGCATGGGCTAAAAGAAAACATGTCAATGCAATGAAAACTCCCATGACACATTTCTTGCTTAGCTTTGCAGATTGGCAACCCAAATCTCTTCTTTCCTTTGGTCAGCTGTTCTAAGAGAAGGCTTGAAAGCTCTGGTACCCCGGCCGTGAAACCACAGGTCTTGTTCCACGGTGCCAGAGT